ATGCACAGTCTTACGTTTGATCCTTGAGTACATCTCCTCGTGGCTTAGCTGATCTGCATTGTGTTAAAAGCAGCAGACAGGGTAGCAGCGTTCCTCCAAACCCAAAACAGGATCAGTCTGTTCCCAGCGCTGCTCAGGTGTGCAGGTAATAACTGTGGGGAAGTGAAGTTCTGACTCGGGGGGTTGTTAGGTCGTGGGTGTGCTCTGCTGCTTTAAGGAGGTGCAGTGAGGAAGGACAAAAAGGGTCATTTTTGTTTTGTGTCAGTTGTGTCTGGCAGTGGCTGTGGAGCTGTGTGTGTGTGTCTCTCTGCTAGCACAGCCTTTAGCAGGTAAGCCTGTGCTGAGCAGAAGCCTGGACACTGTAAAAGCCTCACTTGTTCCTGTGGATTTTTTGCCTGTGGGAAGTGCTGTTACTCTTTGGCACCTGCCTCTGTGTTTCCTTTCCTGGTGAGCATGCTAGGAAGGGAGAGGGCTGTGACAGATCACAGAGGATACATTGCATGTGCCTGCTGCCTGAGACCTCTGCACAGATGGGTCACAGAAGTCAGCCCAAACCTGGAGAAAACTTAGTGAAGCAGAAAGGCCTCACTTAGTCCTGCAGAATTAGGGGATGCTGGCGTCGCTTGCTCCTTGGTAGGCTTAGTGCTAAGAATTAAGTTTTTCCACGTGATATTTTGGGGTTTAGCTCGCTCGTGGTGAGCTGCCTGCCTGCAGGGGTGCACTGCTACCCTGGCATCAGCGTTAGGTGGGAAGATCTGGGCAGCTGTCCTGTGTTTGTCCAATCTTTGATAATCAGGACAAAAAAGTTTGAGAGATCTATCTGATTTTTTAGAAACAGCTAGCACAGCCTGTTGCAGAAGCTCAGTGGGAGTACTGGTGAGCCCTGCTCATCAGCAGTGGTTGGGGACAGTCTCATGTACATGCAGAAACTGTTGGAAGATGCCTACATGCTGTTGCCTACCATTTGATCACCTTTCTCACAGTAGGATCACAGTGCAGCAGCTCCATGTTCTGAGGAACTCCCATGTTAACAAAGTTCTACGGGGCCGTTTCGGACGATGAAAGAAGGAACAAAATCTGCGTTGTGGATGTGCTTAAGAATAAGATCAGATGGAGAAAGCAGGTTGAAAGACTGCCTGAAATAACTTCAAGTGTTTCCCAAGCAAGTCTGAGATACACAAAACAGGACCTCCTGCATCTCTGTTTGTGACTTACGTGCATTGATTTTGGGAGTGATTTTTGTGAGTGCTATTTCTTTTATCAGCCACACAAGCCTGTAACACGCTGCCTTTGCTCTTACCAGGCTGAAGGCAAAGTTTGATTACTGGGGAAGAGGCAGAGCAGAGTGAAACTGCTCAGGCTGTTGAACGTAGCCTGTAATCTCTAGCTGGATATGCTTAGATGGCTCTACAGACATAGGCTATAAATACTTGAGGAGAATCATGAAGCTTTATTGAGAGCTGGGTGCACATGTTGGAGCGTAGGTGTGATACCGGAGTAGCGAAAGCTGTGCCAGAATCTTACCTTCCCTTTGGGTGGTTTTGTTGTGTGTGTTGGAAAATACCGTGAGTGTAATCTGTGGCTGTTAATGGAGCACTTTTCTGGAGCTGAGACTTCACCCCTTCTGCTGGGGGTGGGATTAGGGATGGGTACCACCATTATGGAGTTTGAGGTGATCCCATTGCGGTCTCTAGTCAGCAGCTGCTGTGTCATTTTCTGAGGTTCCTGTATGTGGGGGAGTATGTAGAAGCTGAAAATGTTTCCTTTAAAGGCTGCCAGTAAAAAAATTATCAAATATATTTTTTCCTGTGGATCTAGGTAGACTTTGAAGGCCTCATCTGTCTGAATGTGTTTTATTAGCAAGGTTTGCCCATGGAATTATTCTTGGTGGTTTTGCTGAGATCACAGAATAGATCTAAGCACTGCAGCACTGTTATCATTAAGAAAGATTATTACAGTGGTAGTTGTAACAGTCCTGGATTTTTAGTACATCAATGACAGGACATGTGCTAGATGTCTTGACTTGCTGATGACAGAATGGATTGAAGCACCTCCTGTTTTTTCTTACTCCTGTTATTGGTGAAATGCCTGTTTTCTTTTTTTGGCTGCTGTTCTATTGGTTGTGTTATTCAACTTTAGGTCCTTGTGAGATATTCAAACCAAGTGTTCTGTAGGAGACCTGAAAACAGAAAGCATTTGCTTAGGACACCAGTAATTTAAGTTCTCCTTAATGAAAACTTTATTTATTTGTCAGGGTAAAATCCAAGGTTAAAACAAAATAATAAATTGAAGGAGAAAAACGTGTTCTTTCTCTTTTGAGTTAGTGTATACATTTTCTGGGCTAAATAAATACTATGTGCTTGCATGAGATTATGGATGATAGGAATTTGTGTCTCAGGTTGACCTTTACTGGATTCCTAAAGGTGTTTTGTGGCATCTTGGTGTTGTTTCTGTTCCATTATGTAATTAAAGTGATTCTTTTTTCAGTAGTGAGGAAGTATTGAGAACGTTTCCTAGCATTGTTAATGTACGTTAGCGGTTTTCAAGCCTTTGTTAGTATTACTATAGAAGAATGAACATCATCAGCCACAGAATTTTTTGTATGATGTCATGCAAAAGAGGCTTCCTGCGACCTTGTTCAGACTATGCAGAGTGAGATTTATTAAAGTCATACTGAAAAATGAGTCTGAGATGCTGCGAGAGGCTGAGCCTGTAGTGAGGATGGAGCCGTTGCTTTCAGGAGAAGATGCAAAGCTGTGGCTGCCAGGGGGTGTGTGCAGCCCCCCCAAACTGCTTATCTAGGGAAACTGCTTCCTAACATCTGCTTACAGTAGGTGTTCTGTTACCTTTAGTTCAATAACTAACCTCTGTTTCTGTGTATGTTTTCTTTCCTGTCTTCTCTTTTTGTTTTTTTTTGGTCCCATTTTTCACCTTAACAGCAAGTCGTACAAAAAGGGAGAAAGAAGCTTCCATTAAGTATCCTAATTAATGGCAGGAGCTTCAAACTGATGAAACATCAAAGGGAATAATTCAGAAGAAAGAAGGTTTTAGCCATGAGAAGCCCAAACTGGACAGGTGGGCAGTGTGGCATTCACAGAAGTGTTACTTGTGTGATATATGGAGTCTTCAAAACACTAAAGAAGTGGGAGTTGAGCAGAGCAGCAAACCTCTCTTATAGTATGACACTTAATTGGAGTAGAAGATTAAAGTAGCAGTAAAATTGACTTCCTGGAAGAGGAGAGATGGAATTGGCAGTATTGACAATTTGAAAGTTCTTTTCTGATTCTGGTAAATGTTTTGGCAAGATCCTTGTGGACATGAGGCTGCATGAACCAGGGATGGAACACGAAGATGCCTTGGAGCTGGTGGAGGGGGGTTGTACAGACAGGCATTGCAGTAGGGTTTTTGGTGTCTGTTCTGTAGCCTGCATACACACACAGATAGTAAAAACCCAGATACAACCAGGGTACCTTTCTTAAAGACCCTAATGGTAGAGTTAGAGCCTTCTGTATATAACATACATATTAATAAAAAAATACATCTTGAGAGGCAGATGGGAGAAGAGCGTGATGCCAGACCTTGCCTGCATCTCCTCATTTGTATGCCTGTTTTCTTGGGACTCTTTGGTGATCTCTACTTGGCAGCATTCTTAAGTGCAGAAGACTTTAATTCTGAGTGGGCTCAGCTGAATGTGGCAAACCCAAAACACAGCTAAAGGAGAAAACATAATGCAGGCAGATCTTCCAGGAAGTCTCCAGTCTGAGGAGTTGAGGTTCTGTTTCCTGGAGAAGTGTGAGCATTGTCTTAACATCTGTTTAAAGGAAAGAGTCTCTCCTGTCCACTTTGTTTTCAGGAAGAGAAAAACCACAAGGTGTTTCAGAAATGAAATGGTGGTTTTTTTATCTGTTTACTGGTTTTCTTTCTTTATTTAAACAGTTGTACCAAAGTCAGTGTGCATGCATATGGTTCTTCATCACAGAACTTCCTAATGCGTGTCGTGGTGTCAGGCATTTCCCATGGGGCTTAGCAGAGTCCTCAGACAATTTTGCAGTTGTGTTCCACATGCTGAATGATAGATTCCAGTGCTTAGGGGAACCTTCCAGAAGTGCATTTACTTAGGAGTTGATCATGTAGATGTAGATGCTCATATATGGTGTTCCAAAATACATATTCTGGCTGACAAATGTTTTCAGTTAAGTTTAAGCTGAGGTAATATGAGTATCCTGAAGGGTGAAGTTGCAGACCCTTTTGCTCAAATAGAGCACACTTGCTGACTTTCTATCTTTTAAAACAAATCAGACGAGGGGGTGAGGGGATACCATGTGTTGCCTTGGTGTGTTGGTTTTCACCTAAAAGTGTCACTGCAGTAGTTGGGAACAGAGCGTGGAGCAGATGTCTTTGAGCACACTGGTGCCAGTTCTTTCACAAGTTTCCATAGATCCTTTCCGTTGGAGTGTCTTGGTCTGAGCTTTGATCAGTTATCTTGAGTGTGTTCCAACAGAGAACCTGTCCAGAGTGAAACCTGGGCCTTGGATGTCATTCCTACAGTAGGTCCAAGTGTGGTTGGAGACTGTTGCAGGGTTCTTGTTTGTGCCTTTCAAACGTGGTAGCAATATACTTGAGTACTCCTGGTCTTAGCCACAGAGAATAGCTGGAGGGTGAAGATTTTTCTCTTTTGCTTTGCAAAACACTGTTTAGTTTCTTCAGGGGTGCATAAACAGACCCAGTAGTAAAGGACAGTGTGAATTACTAATGGTGAAAACGTGCCCTGCCACGAAGCAGGCTACCAACTTCTGTTTTCTTGGGAGTGAGCAATTCCTCTTCCTTTTGCACTACCTAGAAGGCTGGAAAGTTGCAAGGAGAAGGGATAGACATCAGTGTACCAGAAAGGAGACAAATACTGAATTCTGATTGCTATGAAACCAGTGCAATTGCGCAGTGGTGTTGGTGTGCCTGGGAGATGTGGATGCTATACCTTTTTTCTCTTTTTCTCCCCCTCTAGGAGGGCTTTCGAGCTGCTGCTCTGCTGCTGAACAGCATGCAGTCTTTTCGGGAGCAAAGTAGTTACCACGGGACCCAGCAGAGCTACCCGCAGGACGTGCACGGCTCATCCCAACTGGAGGAGTTCAGCCCCCGCCAGCAGGCCCAGATGTTCCAGAGCTTTGGAGGAGGTGCTGGCAGTGGACGTCGTGGAGCAGCAGGAGCCTCTACAGCGATGCCTGGTGAGAGCTCTGGCCATCAGAGCTACCAAGGTTTCAGGAAGGAAGCAGGAGAGTTTTACTACATGGCTGCCAACAAAGATCCCGTGTCGTCAGGAGGGCAGCAGCCGCCTCAGCGCAGGCCTTCTGGACCGGTGCAGAGCTATGGGCCACCTCAAGGGAGCAGCTTTGGGAGCCAGTATGGGAGCGAGGGACACGTGGGCCAGTTTCAAACGCAGCATTCGACCCTTGGGGGTGTATCCCACTATCAACAGGATTATACTGGTCCTTTTTCTCCAGGGAGTGCCCAGTATCAGCAGCAGGCTTCTAGCCAGCAGCAGCAGGTGCAGCAGCTGAGACAGCAGATCTATCAGTCTCACCAGCCCTTACCCCAGGCTTCCAGCCAGTCTGCTTCCAGCACCTCCCACCTGCAGCCAATGCAGCGCCCATCCACCCTGCCTTCCTCTGCCTCTGGGTACCAGTTACGAGTGGGTCAGTTCAGCCAACACTATCAGCCACCTTCGTCCTCTTCCTCCTCCTCTTTCCCCTCCCCGCAGCGCTTTGGCCAGTCGGGGCAGAACTACGACGGGAGCTACAGCGTGAACTCCGGCTCGCAGTACGAGGGCCACACCGTGGGCTCCAACGCCCAGGCCTACGGCACCCAGTCCAACTACAGCTTCCAGACCCAGCCCATGAAGAGCTTCGAGCAGTCCAAGCTGCCCCAGAGCGGGCAGCAGGGGCAGCAGCAGCAGCACCCCCCTCAGCACGTCATGCAGTACTCCAACGCTGCCACCAAGCTCTCTCTGCAAAGCCAAGTGGGGCAGTACAGCCAGACTGAGGTTCCCGTCAGGTCACCCATGCAGTTCCACCAGAACTTCAGTCCAATCTCTAATCCGTCCCCTGCTGCATCTGTGGTTCAGTCTCCGAGCTGCAGCTCTACCCCTTCCCCACTCATGCCAGGTGGAGAAAATCTGCAGTGTGGGCAAGGCAACATGTCCATGGGTTCTAGAAACCGAATCCTGCAGATGATGCCCCAGCTTAGTCCTACGCCGTCTATGATGCCGAGCCCAAATGCTCACGCAGGAGGATTCAAGGGGTTTGGGCTGGAAGGACTGCAGGAAAAAAGGCTGACAGACCCAGGGCTGAGCAGCCTGAGTGCTCTGAGTTCTCAAGTGGCCAACCTGCCCAACACAGTCCAGCATATGTTGCTCTCGGATGCTTTGGCACCTCAGAAAAAAAGTTCCAAAAGATCATCCTCTTCGAAGAAGGCCGACAGCTGCACCAACTCGGAAGGCTCCTCCCAGGCAGAGGAGCAACTCAAGTCTCCCTTGGCAGAGTCCCTTGATGGTGGCTGGTGCCGCAGTT